TTATTCTTATGGTTGAAATTGCAAAAGGACTTTGAAGAAGTGCTGTTTACATTTGGCTCTGTTGACTAATGAGTTTGCTGACTTCTGTTATAGGGGGATACCAGGGCATTGAGAGGGAGTACTTAATAGGCTAGGAGGTAGTAATTAATAGAAGCTAAGTTGCAAACAGAGAAAACATATAGAGCTTCTGAAATAAAAGTCACCGTAAATAGGATTTTGTCTAGCTAGCAGGATACGACTTGTCAGGTAGGCTCTGTGGGGAGTGGAGAGCAATAGTTCATTTCAGTTCAGCCTCCATGCTGATCCAGATCTCTGGGAGGCACATGAACATCTTAGGATGGGGATGTTAATAATGAATGAGTTTTATCATTTGGTGCACAAAATGGCTCTACTATGGGATCCTGCTTCAAATTAATGGCATTATGGGAAACAAGAGCCTCACCTACCAGCCGAGGAAACTGGCATTAGAGCCTCTACAACACACAAGGAGATACCACAGCAGCAACAACACCCAGGAGCAGTCGGCACCACCAGTGGAGTGGCCAAAGAAGAGCATTGCGGGCATAGGCAGCTGGTGTGTGGACCTAGGCAAAGGCTTGATGCAAGAGATGAAGTCACGGCCTAACTTGTTTGGCTCAGTGGATAGCGTGACGGCCTGTAGACTGAGGAGTCCCAAGTTCGATTCTTGTCAGGGGCATGTACCTTGGTTGTGGGCACATCCCCAGTGCGGGGTGTGAAGGAGGCAGCTGATCGATGTTTCTCTCTCATCGATGATTCTGACTATCTATCCCTCTGCCTTCCTCTTTGTAAAAAGTCAATCAAATAAATTTTTTAAAAAAGTGATGAAGCCACAGGCATCTAGAAGGGAACAGAGAAGACAGCAACAGCAGTAGGGCAGGCAACTGCCCCATGGCCACTGGAAGTCAGAGTTTCTGGGGGATGCCCGCAACAGTGTATCAGGGGCTCAGGTGTCCAAACTGCTTCCTAGAGCAATACACAGAGGAAACATCAGCTAAAGAAGTGGAGAGATGAAGGCAAGGATGTAAGGACTCCATCCCATAGAAAGCAAGTGAGGGCTCTCCAACATCTAGACCAGGAAGCTAAGGAGTGACCCCTGCAGGTGGCAGCTCCCCTGCCACTGTCCTCACAGAATACTGCAGCCTCTGCAACCCCTCTCGCTCCTCCACCCCTGCCCAGAAATGCCAAGAAGCTCCCAGCTCTTTCCCACTATCTGGGCAGTAGGTAAAGGACAAAGAGAAGTTGACACAGCAAGCCCTTACTGTTGAAATACGCAAATGCATATGCTTTTGCAATAGTTGTAGGTTATTGTGCAACTTGCTTCCTCATCTGCCCCTCACTCTGCTTCCCTGGCTTTGTTCTTCTAAGGAATTCAGATTCATGTAAATCTGTAAAACCCAGACATTGATGATGCCGCTGAACTCACAGAGCTCAGTGAGGGGGAGATGAGGTCATGGACTGAGGGTGCTCTGTAAACTCTAAGGTGACGTGTGTGGTGTTGGGAAAGTTTCCAGAACCAAGGTGGGGTGTGAGAATCAGTGAGTCAACAAGGAAGAACATTGTCCAAAAGAGTTCTTAAAAGGCCAATACCTGGTGGCTCAGCATAAATAGCCCGTGCGTGTGGGCCAGGGAAGCGCTCATTTGCCTGGCGACACTGACCCTCGAGGAAGCAATGGTGAGTGTCATTCCCGGCCTCTGTTTTTGCTTTCTCTGTGTCCAGCGAATGTCCCCCTGCTCATTTGGGGTGCTCTAATGTACTGGTGTTGAGGAAGACAGGGTCTATGTAGCTCTTCTGCTCTGGGAGGTGTGGGTGTGGGTGTGGGTGTGGGTGTGAGAGGGCAGCGTCGGGGGGGAAGAAGGACCGTTCTCTGCCCCTCACTCTGCTTCCTTTGCTCACTGGGAGATTTGCCTTCTGGGCTGGGGGAGGGTGGGTGAGTGGGATATGACACCCACCTGCACCCCAGATGCCACTGTCAGGAAGCCTGAAGTGGGAATGAAATTTCACTTCTCGCTTGGCTCTCTCCACCCCTGATTTCTTCAGAAAAGAAGGTGGTGGAGGAGAAACAGACCCGGCCTTCTCAGACCCGGAATCAAAGTCCATCCTGGTACCAACTGCCCGTTGGACATGAGTAACATGATTTTCTCTTAGCTTCATATTTTGTTTTAAAAATACATCCACTGGATAAGTTTACTGATTTTCAATTAATTTTTAGAGGCATCATTTTTCAATAATACTTTGGTCTGACATTGAGGCATAAAGTGAACATTATTATGTTGGTTTAAGGGGATATGGTTCTGCCCAATACCTCTATAGGCTCAGGGAGGAGTCCTCAACCAAGTCCTAGGTCTCCAACCCTATGAGGTGGCTCTTACCCAGGCCCTTTCTGCTACAGTGAGCTGTGGTGCCCTCTGTGCCATCTTGAGCTGTTGGGTAAAATGCCTGTTGCTTTTCATTCTTCCCCAGATGTGGGCACAGGGCCCTTGATGTGGCAGCTGCACACCAGGGGGCAATGCCCTGGCAGAAAGGCCCTCCACTGCCTCTCCCTCAGGCTGCCTGGCGATCCCTTCTCTTTGGCTCTGTCCTTCAGGCTTGTTCCCAGCTTCTGCCTCTCCCGTGCGCACTTTTCTGGCTCCTAACTTTACAGTTTCTCTCAAGAGGAAAAAAGCCCACCATTGGGAGTGACCAGGTCCTGCACCCACCCTGACCTCTCTTAGCTGCGGAGTCCCTCTCACATGTCAGTAGACACCGTATTGAACATCTGCTTTTTCTCCAACTAAAACCCCCCTTTCTCTGACGGAGCTCACCTCACATGCCCTCCTCCATGAAGCCCCTCTCCAAGTCGTCCCACGTGGAGGGGCAGCACTGTAGGTGTCCCAAGGTCTCTCCAGCTATTCTGAGAACTTTTTCTGGGTTCCCCCTGGAACTTTCTTCATGGAGACAGCGTCTAGTCCAGGAATGGCAGGCCACCTGGCAAACATGTAGCCATGTGCCCATCTTGTGTTAGGACACATGTCACTGAGCATTCTGGCTCTTTCCAGACAAGCACTGAAACCACCAGTGCTGGTCCATCCAAGGCTACAAGTGACAGGAAATGGGTTTCCCCAGCCACCTTGCTGATACAGTCAGGGAGATGGAGGTTCAAAGAGGGGAACTGTCCTGCCCGAAGGCACTTCATGAGTTCTTCCTGATGTGACAGGTGGCCTCAGTGAGGAGTTCACATCCTAGCCTTGCCAATGGCAGTGAAAGGGAAGTCACTAGAAGGGACAAAACGGGGCATCTGAGAAGAGGTAGATGTGGCTGATACCCATGTCAGAGTTCAGCTGGGTAACTCATGCCCTCCTGGGCCAGACCGTATGGCCGCCTTGTCCTAAGTTGCTTTCGGAGTCCTGCTGCTCCTGATCCCACAGAAGGGGCCAGGCGGTAGGAAAGTGCCTCTCTGACTCCGGGCGCTGGGCTGAGCACTAACCCATGTTCTGGAACCAAGAGCACGTCCTATCTCTCTGTCCACCCTGCAGGCCCTGCTTCTCCTCTCCGTGCTGGTCCTGCTCACACAGCCTCCAAGGTCACGGTGAGAAGAAGTGACGACCCTTCCCCGGAAACCTTTGATTGATGCCTGCACCCTGGTCATGTGTAGCCCTGTGGAGAATGGCCTGCCTGGTCGTGAGGGACAAGATGGGAGAGACGGCCCCCGGGGCGAGAAGGGGGATCCAGGTAGAGCTGGGACCACGGACTTGTCCTGGTGGGCATGGGTGGGCACTGGAATCATAACTAACTCAGCAACTCTGGATGTTCTGTGTGGAAATCCTGGAAATGGAAGCCCACCTCCTTGGGAAGAAGTCCCCTAGACATTCAGTCCCCCTAAAGCACCTCGTTACCAGTTGGCAAATGACAGGCTTCCCTGAGCCCCGAGGTGTTTTTTCCCCTCCCCTAGCTGTCGGGATTCCTCCCCTAGGATCTTCTGATTCCTCTCACCCAAACAATGAGCAAATTGTGGGTAAATGCCTGGTCTTCAGGGCCCTATGGAACTAAGTTGCAGCACTTATAGTTGGTCATTATGGTTGAATGATTTCTTTGCAGTGTGTGAAATATTTAACTAAATTCTACTGCATTAGAGGTTGGCAAAGATGAGGCTCTGTGGCCCCACTCAGGCCTGATCAAAAGGATTTACTTAAATACACTATGGAGAGGAGGAAAGGGAGCTCATATTTTATAACTGGACATTTGTAGCTTTTGACCTTCACCCGTTTTTCCCACCACCCAGCTCCCATCTTAGGCAACCACCAATAATCTGATCTCCGCATTTATGAGTTCAGATTCTTTATTTTGTTTCTTAGAATCCAGATATAAGTGAGATCATACTGTATCTGTCTTAATTTGTATGACTTATGGCACTTAGCATAATTCCTTCAAGATCCATTCCTGTTGTGGCAAATGGTATGATTTTTTTGCTGCTAAATAATATTCCAGTGTGTGTGTGTGACATTTTATCCATTAATTCATTATGGACACTATTAGGTTGTTTCCATCTGTTGGCTACTGTAAAAAATGTTGCAATGAACATGAGAGTAGAGATATCTTTCAAATTAGTGTTTTATTTCCCATGGATATAACCCAGATGTGGTATTGCTGGATCATACTTTTTTCAAAAATTACTATTTTTTAAAAAAATATTTTTTATTGATTTTTTACAGAGATGAAGGAAGAGGGATAGAGAGTTAGAAACATAGATGAGAGAGAAACATCAATCAGCTGCCTCCTGCACACCCACTACTGGAGATGTGCCCACAACCAAGGTACATGCCCTTGACCAGAATCGAACCTGGGCCCCCTCAGTCCACAGGCTGACGCTCTATCCACTGAGCCAAGCCGGTTAGGGCTAAATTATCTTTTTAATGTCTTATGGAAACTGCATACTGGTCTCCATAGTGGCTGTACCAATTTACAATCCCACCAACAGTGCATAGGTGTTCTTCTTCACATCCTCACCAACAATTGAGATCTTTTGTGTTTTTTATAGTCGCCATTCTAGGAGGGGTGAGATGATATCTCTTGGGTTTGATTTGCATTTTCCTGGTGACTCATGTCAGGGATCATTTCTGATATAAAGTTTGGTCCTAGGAAGGGGAAAGCAAGGAGTTCATGATCCAGATCCCCTACTGTAAATCTTCAGCCTCAGGGAATGGAGGGTACACTATATGGAAATCAGACAGTTCTTGGCTTGACCCCCCCACACCAGCTCTGGCAGGCCTGGTTCCTCACCTGTGAAACGGGGATGTGCACACCCGTCTCCTGGGTCACCACTGGACTGAGGAGTGTGGAGGGCTAGGAAGGGGAAAGCCAGGAGTCCATGATCCCAGGTAAAAGCTGGCAGACCCCGTGCTGTAAATCCTCAGCCTCAGGGCAGGGAGGGTGCACTGCATGGAAACCAGACAGTTCTTGGCTTAACCACCCCTCCAGCTCTGGCAGCCCTGTTGCCTCGCCTGTGAAACGGGGATGTGCACACCTGTCTCCTAGGTCACCTCTGGACTGAGGAGTGTGGAGGTGGAATGTCTACACCTGCGGAAGCTGAAGGAATGCAGGGCTGACCTGCAGGTGCTGCTCCTCCTAGACCCAGGGCCAGGTTTATGTCCATTTCTTCTGCTGCTACAGGTTCACCAGGAGCTACAGGGCGAATGGAGATGCTGGATGTCCCCAAAGAGGACAATAGCTCTGCTGGAGACCCTGGACTGGATGGAAACTTGGGGCCACCTGGTGAGCAGTGGGCGTGGACTGCAATGCCTGCCACTAGGCCATGCAGGAAGATGCACATAGCCATCCCAGGAAGGGGGGGGGGGGGTGCCCTGCGGGTGGCACTGGGTTCACACAGGGAAGGCTGTAATACTGCTGGGCCGCATCTGTAGGATGGTGCTGTTCTCTGGCCTCTATGACTGCTCTCACCTTCTCTCACTCTCCCACTTCTGAGAAGACTCCGTGCACTGACTGGCTGCTCCTTTTCCCAGGACCTCCGGGACCTGCAGGTGTGCGCGGGCTTGCAGGGAGAGATGGTCCCTCAAGAATACAGAGGGATGTAGGACCCCAAGGTAAACCAACCCCCAACAGAGAGCCTGGCCCAAAGATAGAAGGTTGGTGTGTGGAGGTCCGGAAGGGAGAGGGAGGAGTGACAATGGCAACCATTATGTGAACTAAAGATATCAGTGTGCAGTGAAGCCAGGCCATCTCCACTGGCAGGCCCTTCTGTGGCCCCTTCCCCCCAAACCTCCACATCTGGAGGAGCCCAGACAGTGGGGTGCACAGCCCCCCGGTTCCCCTTCTCCACGTGGAGCTGAGGAAATCATCCAGCCTGCAGACACTCTCAGCAGCATTTATCCTAATCTGTTCCTTCCTCAGGAGAAGTGGGTGCCCCAGGCGTGCAGGGTTCTGCAGGGACAAGAGGCCCCCCTAGGCCTCAAAGGAGAGAAAGGTGCCCCTGGTGAGCGTGGAGACCCTGGAATTGCAGGGGCAGCTGTGACAGTGGCTGTGGGCTTCCTGGGCTCCAGCTCCTTACCCTCCCCCAGGAAAGCCTGTCACTGAGCACCCTTCCCTGAGACCCGGACTCTGAGAGGATCCCAGGCTGTGAGGGACTGGTCTTCACTGGGCCTCTCTCTCCTGCAGACATCAGTGCTCTGTGGCGGCAGCTAGAGGCCTTGCAGGGGCAGGTAAGACGACTGCAGGAAGCCTTCCTTCAGTATAAGAAAGGTGAGTTCCTGGGCCTGGACCTGAAACTGAGCCAGTCGCTGAGGGCAGGCCCGTGGCAGGGTCTGTGTTTGGGTTTGGAGTTGGCCGGGCCTGAGGCAGGCCTGGCTCTAGGATTGGGGGCTCTAGGATGCTAGTGGGTTTGGACGAGGGCTGGACCTGGGACTGGGGCAGGACCTGGGGCTAAGCATAGGGTGGGGCAGAGCAGAGCAGCCACATGTTCCAGGAGCTGGAAGCAGATGCAAGGGACATGGAGGAGGGTGTGGCCCTTACACCAGCTCCGTGGGCTGGTGTCAGCATGGTCACGGCTACCAGCTCCAGCCCCCACCACCACAGCCACCTGTGACCTGAGCCAGATCAATGCCCCAAGCCCAGTGCAGTTCAGACCTTCCCTCCTGCTGACCTGTGCTGGTCCCTGGACACCCCACTACCCAGGATGCATTTCTTATCTCTATGGGGCTAGTTCTGCAAACCCCTCAAGTTGTAGCTGCCCAGCCCACAGCAGCAGCGACTCCAGACACTGTCCTGAGAGTTGGGGCTGTGATGTTGTGCTTGGGTTCACGCTGTGAGGGTCTGACCTTGGCATGTGGCCATTGAGAGTCTCACCTGAGACAGGCCCTGGGTCCGGCAGGGTGCAGGCTGCCTCTGGGCTCTGCCCAGTGCTGGGCTCTCCTGCTCCTCCCTGGGTGTTCAGGGTGGAGACTCTCCCCTAACCTGGGTGCTGAGGAGTCAGAGGCTCCAGCAGCACAGCCCAGTGCCTGTGCCTGTGGCATCTCCACCTCAGTCCCTAACTCCCCCCCTCCTCCCCGCTTTCCCCATGTCAGCTTTGAGCTCACATCATTCAGCAAATCTCATTGATCCAAAGAGGAGATTCTGAAGGAGGAGAGCACACAGGGGCGAGACATGGAGTTAGCTCCTATGTATCTAAAACCACTGAGTACCCACATACCAAGGGTGAGGTTTTAAGCATTTGGTATGTCTCCTTCTATCCACAAACATGCATGTGTGCTCACTCCCTCACATGCACACTGATGCC